GTCGGTTCACAAAAGGACTTATGACCAGAGCTCACCACCACTCTGAGCTGTTGGTCCCACTGTCCTATTGCTCAGACAGTGAGGAAGCTTTTCCTGATTTCCAGCCTGAATCTGGGTTGCCACGGCATGGACTGCTTATTCCGTGCCCTCCACTTTGGCATCAGCAAGAAGAGAGCTTGACCTTCACTGTGGGACAGCCTTTGAGGTCCTTCTAGAGCAGACTTGGACATTGTACGGCCCATGGGACACATCCGGCCCCATGGCCGACCCTGTCTGGCCCGCATGAGGTCACTGGCAACTTAAAAGTCAATGCAAATATAAATTGTCTTGATATAGATGCAAGCAATGCAACTGCACTGCTTTTATTTCGAAGGCTCTGCTAAATTGAATTGAATGGATTGCTTTTCATGTAATGTTAATGTTTTTGGGAATATTCATTAAATAGTGTTGTTCTGTGCTCCACATTTTCATTGTAGCGTTGTAATGTTTCATTTACTGTTTTTATAGAGAGATATATTGAGCAGAGCTGTAAGTGTATTGGTCCGGCCCTTAACAACTGTCAGAGTTTCTCATGCGGCCCCATAGGAAAATTAATTGCCCACCTCTGTTCTAGAGGGATGTCATGTCCCCTCTCAGTCTTCTCTTCTCAAGGCTGAACATGCCCAGTGCCCTCAGTCCCTCCTCACAGGGCAGTTTCCAGACCCTGGATCGTTTTTGTTGCCCTTTCTAATGTCCCTGCATCTTTCTTCAATCTTGCTGCCCAGAACTGGACACAGGATTCCAGGTGAGGTCTGACTGGTGAGGAATACAGAGGAACTACTCCTTCTCGTGATTTGGAAGTCACACTTCTGTTGCTGCTTCCCAAAATAGCATTTGCCCTTTCGGCGGCTGCATCGCCTTGTTGGCTCATGTTCAGCCAAATGTCCGCAATTCCCCCAAGATCCTTTTCTTTTTCAGTTCTGTTGAGTCACGCACTCCCCATCTTGCATCAATGCCCTTGGCTTCTTTTTCCTAGGTGGAGGACTCTGCACTTGTCCTTATAATTATCTGGGAATATTGCGGTGTTCTTTGTTAATGTTTCCCCCGCCTCACCGCAATTTAACTTGGAAAAATCACGTACACATGAACAGATGAAGATGAAGGCGAGGCAGAAGCAGCATGGTAGCAGCAGGCGGTGCTGGCTTGGCCGGGGAGCCTGCTGACATCAAACCAAGACAGAGCAAGCTCTGTTGTTCAGCTCCCCTTATCACTCCCGATGAGCACAAGAGATCTTTGTAATTATGCAGGCCTCCTTTGATTTGCCTCTGCGATGAGTCGTATTACTAAATGGGGCATTTGAACAGGCTGGGAAAGCAGCGCTCGCGCTCTCTTCCCAGCCTGCAGTGGGCACCGGGCCAGGCTGGCCTTTCTTCTCTGTCCACCTCGCTTCCCACCAGTGGCTGTCCCAGAGGAGCCTCCAAAGCAGGCCCAGAAAGGAGCTTAGGAGCTGCCCTGAGCACCCATCAGTGCCCTCTGCCATAGTCCTGGGGGTCTCTGCTGCCAGCATCACCCCCCCATCAATCTCTGAAGCCCCCATTGTCAGCATCGGTTCCTTGGATGATCAGCAGCTCTCCCGTGTTGCAGGCGGAGGAGGCGACATTTCCCCAGCCAGGAAAGCAAGAAAAAGCCGACCGCTTTATGAGTGAGCAGGAACTTTCCGCTTGAAATGCACATTGTGCTTGTTGGGAAAATAATATTCCAAATTAATATCCCAAGGCAATTCGAGCTTGTCTCGTTGTTTCTATGAATGGGGTCAGTCTAGATGGCCTGTGAGACCCCCTTCTGCCTTGCTCAGTTTCTCTGAGTGGAGCCAGCTGGAGCCAGGGTCAGACTAGATGGCCCGGGTGGCTCCTTCTGCCTCGCTTTCTGTTTCTGAGTGGAGCCAGGGTCAGACTAGATGGCCCTGCAGCTCCTGGGGATTCATCCTTGCCATTTGGTAAGGAGGCCCTGGCACCCTACCAGGAGTGTGGAAGTGTCTCAGCTAACATGCAGGACATCTGGTGTTCAAACTATCCAGAGGATGTGAAGCAAAAGCCGAATCCAAACCAGGACAGGGGGCACTTCTCATGTCACTTCCCATGATACTCTATGTGATCCTTTTGTGGAGCTTGGGACAGCTTTCAGTCCAAGGCCCACATCGCATTCCAGAGCCACCCCCCAGGGGTGACCAAGGCTGGAAGGGGCCAAAATTCATCTTAGCTGAAAGCCCTTCCCGCCAAGAGCAAAATCTCGAGAGGCATTTCAGCCATTTCGACATGAGACAAGCCTGCAAAATCCAGGTGACATGGTGGTTGGCATCCTGGGAAGGGTTGACCTTCTGGAGAACCTCAGGGTGGCAGGTTGGGACCATAGGCCAAGGGTCCGAGATCCTCCTCTGGGGAATTGGCATCCCACAAGCCAAAGCCTCCATCAAATGTCATCAGGGGTGTTGCACAGAGGAAATGCTTCCACAGCGACTTCTAGCTAGGGCGAGCGGAGGTGCTGTCCATGCTTCATCCATCCCTCCTTCTGAGGGAACTGGGCATGTTCAGCCTTGAGAAGACTGAGGGGGGACGTGAGATCCCTCTAGAAGGACCTCAAAGGCTGTCCCAAAGGGGAAGGGCAAGATCACTTCTAGCTGATGCCAGAGCGTTGGACATGGAATGATCAAGTTGCGACAACCCAGATTCAGGCTGGACACCAGGGAAAGCTTCCTCGTGCCCTGTGTCTGAGCACTACAACAGTGGGACCAGCTGCCTGGAGAGGTTGTGTGCTCTCCCACACTGAAGAGACTCAGAAAGAAACTGGACAGCCCTCTGAGTGGGATGATGTAACGTGGTGTCCTGCAACAGCAGGGGGTGGACTTGATGGACCCTTCCAACTCTGATATTCCATGATCCTATGATCTAGAGCATGGGTCCTCAAACTATGGCCCGCAGGCCAGATACGGCCTGCCATGGTCCTTTATCCGGCCCGCCTCAAAGCTTTTGGACTTGGAGAAAACGATCTCCGAACGAGTCCGAAAACTCTGAGCTAGAGCAGGCATTCTCTGAAACTCTCAGTTTTGAATTAGCAGAGAGCCGGCACACGCACCAAATTGTAGCAGCTCCCTTCAACTGCATGTGCTCTCTCTGCTACCTCTGGCTAGCTCCTGCTGCTGTGCCGGTCTTGCCAGTGTGAATTGTGCCCGTGCCAGCTCTTTCTCATTGAACACATGTTGGCTCTGAATACACAGCAGGAACACAGAAGAGAGGAGGGCGGTGGGGAGACAAAGACACTAGAAAAAGACGGGAAGAAACATATAATCAAATTTCCAAGTAACGTTCAAAGCAATAAGGTTAATCTGTGTTTTTTTAACCACAAAAATATGAGCCTTGTCCTCAGACTGAAAGCCAAGCTGTGGTCACCTCACCAAGCCTGGGGACAGAAGGATCGAGGTGGAGCTGGGCCAAGGCTCCTGCGCCTCTGCTGGGGCCTTCTCAGGGCAAGCTGGCGCTGCCGTCAAGCAGCCACCATGCTTCCTCCCCCTGCGGCAGAGAGGTGGGAGGTGCCCTGCTTTGCCAGCCACAGCCCCATCCCTTGCCTCCCCTAGCCTTGGCCCTGGAAAGCAGGCCTTACCTCCATCCTCGTGGCCCTCTCCCAGCTGGGGAAGCTGCCTCGTGCCCACCTCTTCAGCCTTCTACTCCCGCTCCTCCCCCCAGAGCCGGTTGAGCAACTATAAGGGGACCTTCCTCCGGCTTTGAAGCGGGGCGACGGCGAGGAACTGGGAAGGCCTCGACCAAGGCAAGTGCCCCCTCATGGCTCCCCCTTTTGGCGGGCACTGTGGCATCATCTTGGGCTTCTGCTGCAGCCCGAGTGAGCAAAGCAAACATTTTTAATTTTTAAAATTTCAATTCATTTTTTAATGCGCAGTGTGCATAGAAATTCGTATTTTTTTCAAACTATAGTCCAGCCCCCTACAGTCTGAGGCACAGTGAACTGGCCCCGTTTTAAAAGTTTGAGGGCCCCGATCTAGGGGGTTGGACAATGGCCTTCATGGCCCCTTCCGACTCTACCATTCCATGATTCCATGATATAGGGCAGTGATGGCGAACCTTTTAGAGACTGAGTGCCCAAAACCCACCTATTTATCGCAAGGTGCCAGCACTGTAGTGAAACTTGAATACGGAGGTTTTAGTTTAGAAAAAACAACTAAATAGGATGCCGCAGCTTCAAATATGCCAGGGGGACAGCACAACATTAAAAGAATCTCAGCCTCTTAATCAGACCATCCCTTTGCTAAATCTCAGATAATAAATTCCAAATTTCCGTAAGAAAACTCAAAGCTAAAATCTTGTGCTAATAAAAACGAATGTATTAAAACTCCAGTTCAAGCATCTATATCCTTGGCAGTGCACTGACCAGCCATGCAAAAGCTTGGACTAGTGGCGGCTATTGAGTCGCAGCTCGTGACATCGTCGCCTGGTGCTGCTACTCCTTTCCGAGCCGGCGCATGGCCCTGTGTGCGCTGTTCTCCAATGCTCGGCTGCTGGGGTGATGCTGGGGTGACTTGGCTCATGTGCCGACAGAGAGGGCTCTGCGTGCCCACTGTGGCATGCGTGCCATAGGTTCGCCACCACTGATCTAGGGGGTTGGACTAGATGGCCTTCATGGCCCCGTCCAACTCCACTATTCCATGATCACTCCCTCCAACTACTGTGCCCAGCGAAAGGGGTGCAGGCAACGAGCATGGTATCATTGGAGGCTGGGGCAGAAAGGCTGCCCAAGACCCCCAATACATCCCCAACCAGGATACAGTCTGGTGTAGTGGTTAGGGCTTGGCTTTGGAGACCCAGGTTATAGTTTCTCCTCAGCCACAAAGTCCATGGGCAGAACCTTGGCCAGCTGTCAGGTGGACTCTGCCAGACACAGGAATTAAACCATGCTGCGGGACCAGCATCCACAGTTGAAAGACTCAAAAATGGCACAAAGGGAAGTTCAAATACACTTGGCCCTCAGTTCTGAGCCACCTCATGTTGGGTCAAGTTTATTGTCCAACCGGCTTCTGTAAAATTAAAATTTCATATACAGTATTTATAAAATGGCTTAAATTAAGGCATAATTCTGGAGTGTCCAAGAGAAGCATCTGGTATTTGCAGGGCGGAGGGGAGAGGCGGATGCCAGATCTGCTTACGGCCCTACATCTCACCACAGCCGTGCCCAGCGGGGAGCGGACAGGGAAGCCTCCTCTCTCACTCCTCGTGACCTGCGAGGGGTTCCCAGGGAGGGCCAAGATGTGGCAGATGGGCTTGGTAGGACTCTTGGCAGCACAGCATCAACACTTACACACGGGGGACGCAGAATGAGATCTTCCAAAGAACATGGACACGGGGAATGATAATCGAAAAAAACCGAAATACACGCACAGGACTTCCTGGCTCAGGTGCCGAAGGTCATCTAGAGGAGACACCCCTCTCCAAGAAGGGAAGGACCCCATTTCCACAAGGTTCGGACTGGTGGCACCAGGACAATCCAACTCTCTCTGTGGCTCTTTTATGTCAGGCAATAACCAAGCGAGTGCCCGGGCCCCAACTTTCCAAGGGACCTCCCCAACCTCAGGAGGCCGGCTGAGAAGGCAGCAGCCATCCCACCCTGCCTGACTGTGGCTTGAACGCTGCCTGGCCTGGTGGCCACCACCCCATGGTTTCTCCCATAGCCTGGGGGGGGGGCACTCTTTCTTCAAAAAAGGCTCTGCAAAGGACAGCAGAGCTCCTGAAAAGGTGGGAGTTGGAAGCAGGTGTGCACCTCAAGACCAGGTGGGGGGGGGGGGGGAATCAACGAGCCAGCTGTCTTCAGGCTAAGCCTCCACTGTCTTTTCCGGAAAGGCGGCCAGATGTTCAGGGAAGTGTCAGCCACTACGTCTATGCTTCAAAATCATGTCCCATCACACACACTCCAGTTCAGCAAGGTGGGCCATGTCGCAAAGCCTTAAGGAAGGGGCGATTCTCTTCTCCCACCTCTAGCCATGGGAGAGGATGATCTTGCAGGAACGATGGCGCTGGGGCCGATTACTGCTCCACAAAGCCTCTCACCTTCCTTGAGTCATTTCTGGAGAAGGAAGCCCAGCAAGAACCTTGCCACAGGCTTCGAAACACTTCCCTTCTCCCACAGCTTTTGACTCAGGGCCATTGGAGGCTGGATATGGGCCAGCAGCCCTGGGAGAAGTCCCTTCCTCCAGGGAAGCGGCTGGCTGGGGCTGGAGAAGTGCAGAGAGGAGCCAGCAAGCACAGAAACAGCCCCTGCTTCCCATGATTCCCAGCCCAGCCACTCACCGGACTATCTCTATCTCAAGGCATCTCCAGGCCAGCAAGGCCGTGTTGCAAGCCCACCATTGCTTTCCCAGCGCCATCTTGCGACGCACCAGGATGCCTTCTTCAGGGTGGGAACGGGGTTCCAGCCAGAGTCCTGCCCGAAAAGGACCAACTCCACAGAAGCTTGAATGGCTTCTAGTCTGGTGGAGGGGATGAGACTCCCTGGAGCACCCATCTGGCTAAAGGACACAACCAAATCCCATCCCAAAATGCCTCCGGGCACAAACCTGCCCCCAACGTATTAGCATCCTACAATATCACCCCAAAACACACCCTTCCTGCAGACACCCGACGAGAGCAAACTGTTTCCAGAGTCCTGCGCATAGGATCGAAATCCAGCCAGAGAAGGGGCAATAAAACCAAATATGAGTCAGGATCTTCCAGAGAAAAGGTGGGGTGGCTTTCCAGGAGATGCATGGTCCCAAAAGCATGACAGTCCATCCCTGCAATCCAAAGGCATCGCAAAGCAGCCATGCAAGCGCCGAATACTGTTAGATTTCGAAGGAGGATGGAATACCATCCCAGCATCATGGAACGGGGAGGGGAGAGGCGTCTGCCCCTTGTTTTCAGAACCAATCGGCAAACTTTGATATGAAAGCACCATATTTGGGGGGGAGGAGAGAGCTGGTGCCGTCAGTTCGTGTGTTCAGGATTCGGCCAAGCGGTTTCCTCGCGTGGAATGATGGGATCTGTGGGGTGCTGAATTCCGAGGCGGCCAGACCAGTCCTGGTTGTGTCTTGAGTTAGTCTGTGATGAGAGAAAGAAGGGATGGGATTGTCGGAGAGGGAAGCAGGAAGTTCCTAGTCAGACGGGCTCTGTCTCCCAGCCGGGGGGCTCTTGCTTCCTGGGACAGGGTCCGGAGAGGGGTCCGTCTCTTCTATATGGGGAGATGGTGGACTGGCCAGCGGCTTCCTGCACCCTGCGTGGCCCTCCGTCTCCATCTCCAGGAAGTGCTCTGGAGGTGGCTCCTGGCTGGCCCCAGCAGGGCTAGCCAGCCTCTCACTGGAAACTTCTCCACCTGCTTCCTGCGGAGGCATTGGAGATCTCAGCTCTTTTGGGGGCGCAGGGCAGCCCACAGGGGAGATCACCACAGGGGGATGAGGTAGGTCTTTCTGCGGAGAGAAAACATTCCATGTTAACATGACAGGGCAGAGGGGTGGGAGAGGAGAAGGGGGCTGGGACACGGGGTTGGCTTTCTGAAAAGCTCCGCGGAGCAAATCTGGACCTAAAGACCAGGACAAGCTGTAAATGTGAGCTGTGCTTAGTCCGGGTGCAATCCTAATCCAGAAAATTCTGGGAAATGAAGCAGGCTCAGAGGGGATCTACCGAGAGCAATTCCCAGGATTTTGAGGGAGTTCCTCAGGTCTCCTCATGTGTCTTCTCTCAATGGGAGCTCCTCCTGCCCCACCTGGGAGATGTGGGGCAGGCAGCTGCCAGGCTCATGAGGCTCCAGGCCCCCACCTTCCCTGCCAGGCACCCCAGAGAAGCATAATGCAGAGACTTAGCTCCCCAACAGATGGCATGCCCTGTGCTGCTGCAGAAGCCCGTCCTGCCTCTGCCTCTGCCAAGAACTTCAAGAGTTGGGACAGGGGCTAAGAAACAGGCAGGCCATGGCAATCCAGGGAAGGGGGGAATGCAAAGCAGACTTCAGCATTTCTAGCATGAGTCAGCCATGACACAGAGGCCAAGAGGGCGAATGCCACCCTTGGCTGCACAGCCAGAAGCGTGGCTTCTAGATTGAGAGAGGTATTACTACCATTCTATACAACTCTGGTGCACCCGCAACTGGAGTATTGCACTCAGTTCTGGGCCCCTCATTACAGGAAGGATGTAGCCAGGTTGGAGTCAGTGCAGCGTAGGGCCACAAGGATGGGATGGTTGGGAAAGCCATATGAGGCAAGACAGAGGGAACTGAGTATTTTCAGCTTGGGGAAGAGGAGACTCCAAGTGGATCTCTTGGCAACATACAGGTCCACAAAGGTGGGGAGAGACCAGTTCTCCCCTGCAGAGGAGGGCAGGACACGCTCCAACAGAGCCAAGCTCAGGGAACGAAGGTTCCAATGTGGATGCCAGGAAATGCTTCCTGATGGTTAGGACCCCAAGGGCATGGGATGGGCTTCCATGGGAGGTGGTTGAGGCCCCGTTAGTGAGGGCGTTCAAGGACAGGCTGGACGTGCACATGGTGGGCATGTCGTGAGCGAAGCCGGCTGGAGCCGGGGGTCAGACCAGATGGCCCGGGAGACCCCTTCTGCCTCGCGCTGTTTCTGTGCTTCTCTGAGCGAAGGTGGCTGGAGACGGGGTCAGACTAGATGGCCTGGGATTCCCCTTCTGCCTCGCTCGGTTTCTGTTTCTCTGAGCACAGCCGGCTGGAACTGGGGTCAGACTAAATGACCCGGGAGACTCCTTCTGCCTTGGTTTCTACCCCACTGCCTGCTACCAATATTCCCAGTAACTGGTTCTGAGACACGCCCCGCCTTGGGTCCAGGTGATGATATACAGCCATCACAACTCTGACTTTCCATGGAGTGGCCCGTCGTCTCCCATCAGAGACCCCAGCTATATCTTTGGGTTTAACAGATGTCCATCCGTCCGACCTTCCTTTTTTGGGGCAAGCCATTTCATCGTCCAAACTTCATCTGAGCGGAGCAGCCCCCTCTACAATCCACATGCCTCAAATAAAACCACTTATAGGGAGAAAGAGAGCCCTTTGCCCAAAGACTAGAAAAAGGGGACGAAACAGAAGAGAAATCCAGCATGCAAAGAGAGCTCCTTGCTTTTTTTTTTTTTTTTTTGGAAAACACCAACAAGACTTTTACTCAACTTTAATCCTAGTTAGGGGCCTTTCTAATATTAGCATTTTCTTGGAGACTCATATCAAACTGGTATTCACCGCAAAGCCGCTGCCCGTCCAGAACATGGCCACTTCTCTCCGCCAAAGGGCCACCATGAAGCTCGTGAGCAGTGTGCAGGGCACGAGGTAGAGGAGGGCTGGCTGGCCTTTCTGCATCAAAGCCAGCGCAATGAACGTCACCAGGAGCCCGATGCCATAGGCTGCAGTGGGTGGAAGGAGAAAGACAGAGCAGAAGTTGAAGCCAGACAGAGGTGCATCTGCCGGAGACGGATCAGGCCAGCACCAGGCCCATGCCAGGCCTCTTCTCGCAATACCCCAAGGGAGTTCCTGGGATCTTGTTTGCACATCCAACCAATTATTCGCCAAAAGTGGAGACTAGGAAGCCAGGACAGAAAGGAACGGCTGAGCCTCCAGTCACTGCCCTTGAGCAAGAAGGGTTGGACCCAATGGTCTTCATAGCCGCTTCCAACTCTACCATTCCATGATTCTGTGATCTAGGGCAGGGGTTGGCAACCTGCGGCTCCGGAGCCGCACGTGGCTCTTGAACCCCTCTGCTGGGGCTCCGTCGCTCAAAATACGTGTCACAGCCCCTGATCTGTGACCTGTGCCGGCACAGCACAGCCCCCGATCTGTCTCATAAATGCAACACACTATAGTTTTTTTTATACATAGCATAAAGGTAAAAAATGCTATATGCAATGCTATTTTCATTTTAGAGGTCAAAAGAGTTTTGCGGCTCCTGGTGTATTCTTTTCTGTGGGAAACGGGTCCAAATGGCTCTTTGAGTGTTAAAGGTTGCCGACCCCTGATCTAGGGGGTTGGACTCCATGGCTTTCATGGCCCCTTCCAACTTTACCATTCCATGATCCTGTGTTTCTGTGTTGCTTTCAGATAAAGCAGCTCCTGTCAAAAGGGGGATGAGTACAAGATGCTGGACTTACCTACAGTGCAAGCAACAAAATACACGCGTGAGGACTGGACTTGAATGTCAAACCTGTGGCAATAGGCAACCAGGAGACCTGAAAAGGAGAATGAAGGGGAGAAAACAGAAGAGGAGCCATAATCTGTGTCCTAAACCCAGACAAATCAAACACGCCGGCCTGCCTTAGCATGTTCCCTTCCCCGAGAACCAAAGATTCGGCATAGGGCAGCTTCTGCTTCCCAAAAAGAACAACAGACCAAGTAGATCATGCCCTGGTGGGCCCATCTGACCCTGCTCAACTCTCCAATAGGTTTACAAACAGGGTTTGAAGGGCATTTTCCCCACCCCCAGCCCTGGTTGCTGCCTTCCAGCTAAAGAACAAGCGGGCTGGTGCAAAGAGGTGTCCTGCAATGGCTGGAGGTTGGACTCGATGGCCTTCATGGCCCCTTCCAACTCCACTATGATTCTGTGAAGGACTCTGAACCTGGAAGGTCAATTTCCCCTTCATAGTTAATTGCATCCGAAAGAACAATTTATTTCATTTCAAGTGGTTCTGTCCCTCTCCTCAGGATGGCTTACATGCTATCAGAAAACAAGACAGACTGTGCTCCCAGGCTTGCAATCTAAGGAAGTCACAACACCCAAGGAAGAGGAGATGGCAAGAACAAACAGGGTCTCAACTGGGCTGCCCGAATGGATGCACTTTGCATGGATGAAAGACCCAGAGTGCTCTTTTTCCAGCTCTGTTACCCCACCTAGACAGTGGGAACATGAAGCTAGTTGCCCCTGCTCAGGTAACATCCACAATAGATTATTGCAGTGTGCTCTCCGTGGGCTGCCCTTGAAGACAGTCTGGCCGTTGCAACGGGGACAGAACCAGGCTGGTTGGATGGGAACTGGTCTTGCCAGAGTGCCCCAATAACACCAGTGCTGAAAGAACTTCACACTGGCTCCCAGCTGGGGCCCAATTCAAGGTGCCTGTATTGACATATAAAGTCCTAAACAGCTTGGGGCCCGGCTATCCAAAGAACTGACTACCCCCATACATACCTCCCACCCCTTCTATGAGAACCTCAGGGGTACCTCAGGGGTGGCAACTAGGTGTGGGGCCTTTTCTGCTGCTGCCCCCCTCTCTGGAACTCTCCCCCTAGGGAAATTTGCCTGGTGCCATTCCTATTCTCCTTTTGACGCCATGCCAAGATATATCTTTTTAGGATTTTTTTGAACATATAGCCATATGTTGTGTCCCTTTTTATAGATGTTTAATTCATTATGTTCTAATTGGCTTTTAATGTCTTTTTATTCTGTTGGCATGTTGGACATTGCAAGATGCCTAGGAAGGCCTTGGCAATTATCGGTGGCCTATAAATAGACGTAAATAAATAAGTAAGTAAGATTTCTGGAATGATGAGGGTCACAGCGATGGTGGGTCAAGCCCTCCAGGAGAGCTGCCTGCAACCCCTAAAAAGATCCATTAGATGTACCCCAAGGGCAGCTTCTTGGACCCCAGAACGGTCCCCAAGCAGGAGGCTTCCAAGGAAGTCCTCACTGGAGGAGGTCAACAGCCCTTCTGCTGCTCTCTGCAATTGTCGGGCCAGGAGTGGAGAACTTCCTGGGCAACATCCCTGTGTCAAACAGCACCGAATGTAATCACAGCGGCACATCATAAAGTCCACCAGCAATGAAGCCCGAGAAAAGGCATGCCAAACTTCTCCAGAGAAAAGCATCAGAGGACTGCCAGGCTAAACCTGGAAAAGCATCAGAGGACTGCCAGGCCATGGCTGTCTGGATGCTCCCAGAGGAATGGATTCAACCCACCCATTTCAAAGGCAGCTTCCAACATGACCACATTCCTGTGTGGAAAGGGCAGGTGCGTCCCATGGGAACATCCTGAGAGCACCCAGGCCAGACTGGGTGGTGGTCCATTGAGTCCATCTGTGGGTCATCAAGTCCCTCAACCAGTTCAAGGCGTCGCCGTCAGCTCCCTACAAGAAACTCATGCGGGCAAAGCTGGATTTTGAAGGCCCATGAGTAGGAATGTTGAAGTTCTGTGTAAAGCGCCCCCAGGAGACTTTTTGGGGCAGAATACCTGAGGACCAGCACGAAAAGAAGTCCCAAAATGGTACCAGCTCCAATGCAAAGAGTAACTTCATATATAGTTGGTGTTGGTAATGACCTATAAAGCCCTAAACGGCTTGGGTCCTGGTTACCTGAAGGAGCGCTTACATCCATATTTGCCCAGTCGCCCCGAGATCGGCGGGAGAGGCCCTGCTCCGGGAGCCCTCCGTGAGAGAAATTAGGAGGGTGGCTACTCGGAGAAGGGCTTTCTCAGCGGTGGCGCCTAAGTTATGGAATGCGCTCCCCAGAGAGGTCCGCCTGGCGCCGTCGTTATTTGTTTTTCGGCGCCAGGCTAAGACCTTTTTATTTAAGCAACATTTTAAATGCTAAATACAATTGAATTTTATCTGGCCAGGGCGGCTTATTTTATAATGTGTGTTTTAATTAAGATTATTTTATATGGATATTTTAACTTATTGTTTTATCTATGTTGCAAGCCGCCCCGAGGCTTCGGCGAATGGGGCGGCATAAAAATGTTTTAATAAATAAAATAAATAAATAAAATAGAGCAACACTTTCCCTGCCCTGCTTCCTCTGCTAAAAGCAAGTGGACTCTTCGGACAGGGAGGGGTCTGCCTTCCGCTGCGCTGTAGCTACCTCTGTGCCGTTCGCTGGAACTGCAGCCAGGCCCAGGGTCCCGCCAGCAGGGCCGCTTGATGCCTGAAAAAGCCTACCTGGAACCAAGATGTCCCCAAATCCCAGGAGGGAGAAGGGCCTATCACAAAGAGCCAGTGGGGAGAAGTTGAGCCGTGGGACCTTCAGCACCATGGGAAGCTGTGGAGAAAGAAGTGGCAAGCTCATCCTGGGGAATGGGCCCTCCAGCTCCCCTGCCCTCCTCTGCAGGGGAGAACAGATCTGTACCCACCTCCGTGTGACACCCTCTCACGTCCCTAGATGTTGCCAACAGATCTCCTCTGAGTCTCCTCTTCTCCAGGCTGAAAATACCCAGTTCCCTCAGTCTCACCTCATACGGCTTCCCCTGCAATCCAGTCGCCATCCTTGTGGCCCTACGCTGCACTGACTCCAACCTGCCTAGAACCTTCCTGTAATGAGGGGCCCGGAACTGAACACAAGACTCGACTTGTGGGTGCACCAGAGTCATGTATGCGGCACTAATCCCTCTCTTGATCTAGAAGCCACGCTTCTGGAGACGCATCCAAGGGTGGTGTCTGCCTCCTTTACCGCTGTGTTACAGTGCTGGCTCATGTTTAGCCTGCCGTGAACCAGTACCCAGAGATACCCTTCACAAGCGCTGCTCTTCAGCCACTTATCCCCTAACCTGTACTTACGGCACCCATTCCTATGCCCCGAGTGCGAGACTTTGCACTTATCCACGTTGAACGCCATCCTGTTGTCTCCTGCCCATTTCCAGTCTGTCCAGATCCTTCTGGATCTGGAGTACCTGCTCCTCAGCTGTGGCCACAGCCCCGTTTTAGTATCATCTGCGAATATGATCAGCAGACGGGTCACCCCTTCTTCCATGTTGTTGATGAAAAGACTGAACAGGATCGGCCCCAGGACAGAGCCCTGGAGGACCCCACTGGTCACCGTCCGCCATCCCAATGATTCCCCACTAATGGCCACCCTCCGCTTTCAGTTCATCAACTAGCCCTAACCCCTCGGGCAGTGCATCGGTCCATCCCAAAACTCCTCAAAAACACTACAGAAAGCCTGATGCAGAGTTTCCCCTCAGCTTACACATCTCCCCAGGCCTCAAACCGTATAGGTTGCAAAGTCAAGTGTTGGTTTGGGAAAAGTGAACTTCCGCCATATGGACATCCTCAATTTAACTTACATCAAGCAGAAGAACTATAGCAATCAATGTGTTTAAGGGCCAAATCACCCAGACATGAACCCCCAAACCCAGCAGTGCAGCCCCCTTAGCATACACGTCAGTTTCCCAGTGCCCCAGTTCACAGCCTTGGAGATACAGTGCTGATGCTAACACAACTGCACGAAGTATTATCAATGAATAGCAGAGCCCCTGAGGAGGTCTGTGGAAGCACCCGAGGGTTGGTCCCACCTTTTCCTGTGTGGCCGAGTCCGCTGGCCCAGCTGCCACCTCCACCATGATGCTCTCCCCAGTCTGAAAGAAAGAGAGGTTCCACCTATTTGCTTTTCGCCAATTTCCAAGCTTCCCTGACGATGGGGCCTGGAGTGGACAGCAGCATTCCCAAGAAGAGCCTTCCAGCTCTGAAGATCCAAATCATCCACCCTGCAAGGTATTCAGCTCCCCATTTCCCTGGGAATGAAAAGAACAAGATCTGCTCCCCTCTGTCTTTGTACTTGCGAAGGATGCGATTCTGGGTGGGCGCAGCTGCGTGCAGCGGGACCCAAGACAGGGAAACGCAGGCAGCTCACACTGACACACGAGGAACTCCAACCCCCCTCAACCCTTTGTACAAACAAGCCGTTCCAGGGTGGGGCACCAGAAAGGCGCTCCTCTGGAAGGCGCCAGAGGCTGGGTGTGTGTGTTTCCACATGGCCGTTGTGTTGCTGCACGACACAGCCAAGGGCAAGGGCCTGAGGATGCCACCCACCCCTCTGAAGCCTTTGATGCAGGGCCTGCCTTCTTCCAAGCTCGAGGGACCCGTTCAGACCTCTCCCTTCCTCAGAGCTTCCAATCCAGGTTCTCCACTGACCCAGGCGAGGCTGGAGCACTCTACCGCCATGTTCTCCACATCTCCAGTTCCCTGCTCGGAAGAAAGCACTCCAGCCTCGCTCGCCACCCAGTGCCACTTCCGGCGGCATTGGGGTGACGGTTTGAGGGACAACTCACCTTGGTCAGATAGGGCGTGATGAAGACAAAGAAGACGTCATATATGAAGAGGACCATGAGAAGCAGAGTGCAGCCCTGGGGAAGGAAGGAGACAAAAGTGCTCGGGCTGTATCCTTCTAAAGGGAGCCCAAGATCGGCCCTCGCCCTGCGTCCATGAGGCCCAGCTCAGGGAGGAAGGGGCTCCTTCCTTGCTCCTTGAGAGCCAGCTGCTTGTGTTCAGAGGGCCCGTCTTCAGCACCAGCTCTGCTTGGCTGCTCTCCCACCCCCAGGGCAGACCCCGTCCACGCCTTTGCCCCCTTCCTCCTCCTCAGATCCCCTAACAGGCACAGCCCCATCCCTCCATCTGCCACCCTCCCAGCCTCTCCACCCAGAGCTCTGCTGCTTGCTCTTCCTTCAGGAACCAAACTCAGGTGGAGAATCCACTCTGACAAGGTCAGCTAGGACCAGTCACCAAATCGCCTGGCACCATGCAGCCCACCGTGCGAGGCTGACGGATCAATCACACACAAAGAGAACGGATTTGAAGCTGGGAAAAACTATCCTGGAGCATCCACCGAGCCTTCCAGGGAGCACCTGGAGGCTTCTTGGCCAAGGCCAGGAACCCCGGGCTTTCCTAGGAGAAACTTCCACCACCCTGGTGCCTCACTCGGCCTTACTTTGAACGTGGGCAGGCGGATGGTTTTCAGCATGTAGAGGCAGAAGGCAATCCCCAGGGTATCTTGGAGGATCCAGGCCCACCTAAAGGGAGAAGGGCCACAGCTGAGCAGAGTCGCGTGGTGCCTGAGCTCTGGGGATGGAGAGCACCTGCTCTTCCAAACATGTCTTGCTCTCTGGGCAAAGACAGAGCCCCCCTCCCCCACCAGGTTCAGTTTCTGCAGGACAAGTTTAGCCCAATTTCTAAAGGTTCCTCCCCACCACTGCACTGTGGCCTCAGACCATGTCCTCTCCCTGCTCCCGCACGGGGACCTGGTGGCTTCCTCAAAAGGGCCCTTCTGGGCTTCAGCTGCCCTTCCACCTGCTCACCATGGCACTGAATTGTACTCAGTGTGATTTCTGTCGGGCATCTCTTGGGGGGAAGATGCTGCTGCAGCCCCCTTCTCAGCTCAAGGACGAAGAATCACAGAATGGTAGAGTTGGAAGGGGCCATCGAGTCAAACCCCCTGGACGACAGGATCATGGAATAGTGGAGTGGGAAGGGGCCATGAAGGCCATCGGGTCCAAGCCCTGCTGTTGCAGGACACCACATTATACCATTCCACTCAGAGGGCTGTCCAGTTTCTCCTTGAATGTCCCCAGTGTGGGAGTGCCCCCCACCTCTCCAGGCAGCTGGTCCCACTGCCATATTGCTCTGACCGTGAGGAAGCTTTTCCTGATGCCCAGCCTGAAATTGGGCTGTCACAACTTGACCGTATTATTCCATGTCCTACATTCAGGCACCAGCAAGAGGAGATTTTGACTTTTGTCTTTGTGGGAGCCTTTGAGGTCCTTCTAGAGCAGGGGTCAGCAACTTTTAACACTCGAAAGAGCCATTTGGACCTGTTCCCCCCCCCCACACACACACACACAAAACCACACCAGGAGCTGCAAAACCCTTTTGACATCTAAAATGAAGATAACACTGCATATATCCTTTTTTACCTTATGCTATTTATATCTTCATTATGTTTTAGCTGCAGCTCTTGTTCATTCACTAAAAACTGTCATTTTTAATCTTACATTATAAACTAGTAGGACTCCTTTCATATGTTTTGAATAGGAGAACAGCTTCCTGCAGAGTCAAAGTCAGTGCTAAAGGGCTGCATGCATTAAACAGCAAACCCCGTAAGTTCGTCAGCAGTAAAAGCAAATGAATCTACCCACATATCATTAAACATTTGGTTTCCTTCAGAAACTTTTCTTTTCTTCGATTTATCCATGGTTGGCCGGGGGGGGGGGGGGGGGGGGGGGTGGAGCTCGGTAAATCAGCGCAGGTCCGCAGCTGTGCCGATGGATCGGGCAGCTGTGCCGAGATCTAGGTGTGTTTAGTGACTGCTTAGCAGATAAACAGTCCAGCGCTGTGAATTCTGACAGGTCCCAAGTGCAGCTTTTAACATTCAGAGGAAGGAGATGACATTGGGACAAAGAGAATCCTTTCAGCATGAGAGCCTGCAGGAAGCTTGTTTAGCAGAGGAATGTGGCGATTTACGTAACTAGCTAGAGCTGTGTTCCTGAGTGGAGTTTCTTTGGAGATCATCAGCGGCTGTGCCGGTACGCGATTTGAACAACAGAGCCCCAGCAGAGGGGTTCAAGAGCCACGTGCGGCTCCGGAGCCGTGGGTTGCCGACCCCTTCAAGAGTGATATCGTGTCCCCACTTCTTAAGAGTAAAAAACCTCCCACCACTAGGCGGCGGGCTCAGTCCACATCCAATAGGGCAGCTGTCCTCCCTGAAGGGATCTGACTGTCCGCAGTTGGGAACAAGAGCCTCAGCCAGAGGAACATTCCTTCCTCAACCTCCTCCAGTGGATCCATGGTCCACAGCTCCACGGAGCTGGTCCATGTCTGCCCTCCACACAGAGCCCAGCCAGGATATTTAGCACAGCATCCACCCTCTGATCAGCTCCCCTTCAGCACCAGACCCCAGATTAGCAGCAGAGGCAAAGGGAGACAGAAAGACTGCTGGAAGGCCATCAGAGAACTCTTAAGATTGCTCCAGCGCCAGGCAACCCCCTTTTTATTCTCGCAGTATTTTAACTGTTTAACGTTATCTCAGCAGTGGGTTTCTATTTAAACATTGAACATTTTAACTTGACGGCCCCTTCCAACTCTACTATTCCATGTTCCTGTGATCCAGGGAGTTGGACTCCAGGGCCTTCATGGCCCCTTCCAACTCTCCTATTCTGTGACTCTAAGAACCCTCCCCAAGGATCGTGCACAGTCCCCACCGAAAAAGCAGCCATGGAGAGACCCCCCCCCCCAACATTGACGTACTGGTCCTCATTCCGGAATACGCCCCAAAGCAGACTGATGGAGATGCAGAAGGCAGCCAGCAGCAGCATCCGAACTTGGGGCCGCTTATGGAAATAGGGCAAGTTGTTCCCGGGGATCCTGCAAATGAAACAGGCAACATGAAAAGGCATCCTGAAACAGAAGGGGCATCACCGCAGCTGCCAGGGAAGCACCTCCTTTACACATGGGAAGGGTCCTGCCAGCCCTTGCAAGCTCCCAGGTACCTCTCCCCCAGAAAGCTTCAGCATGAAGGGTTCCCTGATCCCAGAGTGCCAGGGAGGCTCTCCGGAACATCCTTCTGGACCCCAAAAAGGAGCGTCAGAGGCTGAGTAATGCAGCCATCCTGATCAACCACAGACACCATCTGCCGGGAGAGAATTCTGGCGTATCTGCCCCCCTTCTTCCTTACATATTTCAGCTTTTTGCATGCCGTCCCAATTACTGAATTGGCTTATGGAGTCAAAGCAAAAAACCAGAACCCATCACGACGATGACACACAGAAAAAGAAAATTCTTTGGGTTTCAAAGGCATGCCACACCCGCTTTGATCAGGTGAGGGGAGCGTACTTTGAATTTTGAAAATGCTTCCTTGCGAAAACTGAAGGGGGCAATGCCCATTCCACAGGTGGTTCCCCAGACCCCTTTGTGGGGTCTACAAGGGGATGGGACACAAGGCCTTCACATTTTATCAGAAGGCAACGAAAGGACTTTTGGGCTGCTCTGCCACCCAATTTTAGGGCCTAATTCAGCAGCAAGGGAATGTTGATGGCTGCAGCCCAAGGTGCATTCTGGTTGGAGGCACTGCTCCACAGTAGTTAGAAATATAGAAACAGAATGAGGCAGATATCAGGTCATCTAGTCTGACCCCGGTTCCACTCATAACATGCCTATCATGTGCATGTCATGCCTGTCCTTGAAAATCCTCACCGATGGGGCCTCAACCACCTCCCATGGAAGCCCATTCCACACCCTCAGCGTCCTAACAGCCAGGAAGGACTTCCTGGCATCCAAACTGAGCCTTGGTTCCTTGAGCTTGGCTCCCTTGGAGCGGGCCTCTGCAAGGGAGAACAGTTCTCTCCCCACCTCTGTGGTACACGCCTCTCACGTCCCTATATGTCACCAACAGATCCACTTGGAGTCTCCTCTTCTCCAGGATGAAAAGACCCAGTTCCTTCAGCCTCGCCTCATGTGACTTCCCCTTTGCTGCACTGACTCTAATCCAGCTATATCCTTCCTGTAATTAGGGGCCCAGAACTGAACACAAGACTCCACTTGTGGTGCACCAGAGTTGTGTGGAGTGGCACTAATCCTTCTCTTGATCTAGAAGACATGCTTCTGGCCATGCAACCAAGGATGCCGTTTGCCTCCTTTGCTGCAGCGGCAGATCGCTGGCTCATGTTCAACCTGCAGTCAACCAGTACGCAGAGATGCCTTTCAGAAGCGCTGCTTCTTTGCACTTCTCCATATGGAACACCCTCCTGTTGTCTCCTGCCCACTTCCACGGTCTGTCCAGACCCTCCTGGATCCAGAACACCTGCTTCTCTGCTGTGGCCACCACCCCATTTTGGTATCGTCTGCACATCTGATCAGCAGACGGGTCACCCCTTCTTCCGTGTCACTGATGAAAAGACTGAACAGGATCGGCCCCAGGAAAGAGCCCTGGGGGACCCCACTCATCACTGGCCGCCATCCTGATGATTCCCCACTAATGGTCACCCTCTGCTTTCGGTCCGTCAGCCATGCCCTAATCCTTAGTTGCCGATCTGTGCAGTAGAGCATGGGTTCTCAAACCAAGGCCCGCAGGCCGAATCCGGTCCGCCCTGCCCATTTAACCAGCCCGCCCCACAGGTTTTGCACTCTCCGGGCGCGAGTGTGTGCAGCTTGCTCGCGAGGTTTGAACTTGCTTGGAAAGAACGATCTCCTTGTGAGCAAGCTGGTGCCTTACCCCCACGCTGGCCCGCACCCCACTGCAGGCACCACCTTGGTGGTCCGCACCCACCACTGGCACTTGTCAACCGGCCCCCTGTTGAAAAAGTTTGAGGACCCATGCCCTAGAGGGGCAGTAATATGCCTTATATCCTGCATAATCTAAGAATTTACAGCGATTTTGGGAGTGGGTGATAAAGGACAAAAAATAGAAAGTTATACATGAATGGGGGCGGAAAGCACTAATTTCCCATCACTGTTGCTAAAGAGATGCAGAACTGGGTTTGAAGAGGGTTTTTCATGGTGTTTGAAGAGGTTTCTTCGTGGCATCTCATCCAAGCCCGAACCGTTCTCTTCTTCCTCACACATCAGCGAAGGAGACGGCAATGACCTCCACATGGCCCAAGTGATGGGAATCAGAATTCATGCCCTCTTCATCAGAACGCATCCTTCCTGCCCCGCACCTTTTGGCTCTGCAGCTTTCCCAAAAGAGGCACATGGGACAGAGGGAAGGCCCAGTCACAACACGCCTTCAAACCTGCATTTTCCCAATGGAAACCTTCGGACAAACGGGGAGAGGCAGCTGTACAAGCCAATGGAGGCTGCCAGGCAGAAGATTCCGATGATGGCATACACTGGAAGGAGAGAAGACCGTAAGTCAGGCCATGGGAGTTTGGGCAGGAGGAATGAAGTCTGCCCAACACACGTGCATCTCCGACGGCCAAGCCACTGCAAAAGTGCATGTGACACTCAGTGGCCTCCACTGTGAGCTTCTCTGATGCTGAAATTTGGGCCCCAGGAAAAACAAAGAAACAGAGTGAGGCAGAGGGGTCCTCCTGAGCCATCTAGTCTGACCCCAGCTCCAGCCGGCTCCGCTCAGTGAGAC